CCCCATGGACTTGTGCATGTCCAGTTTTTCTAAATAGTCCCGAACCACTTCTTTCTCCACAGAGGGCTGGTCACCTTCTCCCCATGCGGTTCTATTTCTAGCTCTGCCACACATTGTAATCTGTGCTCTTGGGCAAATGATTTTAGTCAGGTCTGTTGCTCTGGAGTGGCAGTTGGTGTTTGATACTGCACAGGCTGAGCTGGTTAAGTACTACAGTGTTCCTCAGAGATCCTCCCCCTTGCCATAAACAATCCTCAGCCTAAATTTCCTCCCAGCCCTTTCTCCTCTGCTGTTATTTGTCCTCTTTCTTGATGCATCTCCTTGCTTAGCTCATTCTCAGCTTCGTTCTGATTCACCAGGGTGGTTTTACATTCACAATACTGAGTACAGGGGGTAGGTTCTCAACCCTATCTCCCCTCAGCAGCTCAAAGATGAGGGGAAGAGCCATGCTGAGTGAGCACATCAGCTCTCTTCCTGCTCACTCCATCACTAATTTAGATCAGTGGCTGGAGGAGGGAAGGAGCTCTGAAACTGCTCCCTGCCTCCAAAGCTCTGTCTGCTGGTGATTGGCCATACTGCTGAGCTGGGCTGTAACCTAAGTCAGTAGGCCTAGCTGCAGGGCAAAATCCTCCCAGCCTGAGAGAAAAGGAGAAATGTAGGTCTACGGCTTGACATTGCCCAGCTAGCTTAAGGCCCCAGAAGGGGCCGATAGTGAAGCAAAGTATAACAGTGGAAGAAAACTGGACGGTGGGGGTAGTCAGAATGAGAATGATGAGCAGAGAGTGAAGAATGCGGGTAAGGGTTGCTGGTGGGGAGCATTTGAAGTGGGTGATGCAGGATGGGAGTGGCTAATGACAGATGAGGATATGCATGGAGAATGGGATCATGGGTGGTTGGTGGTAAAGAGTCAGGAAGGAGACAGGGATGGGGAAGCTGAGAAATTAAGATAAGCTAACACAGGACAAGAGAGGAGGAAGGGAGGGATCATTCTAAATCACTATTAGAAAACGGGAGAGGATGGGAGGAAAGAGAATCAAAACAGCCAAGAGAAACTTAGCATGTCATGTATTTTCTCTCACTTTATACACAGCTAATGCTTATAAGAGTCTGAGTCACTGCCCTCCCCAGTGCATTGATTGCAATCAGATCACTTGAATTGAGGATTTATGAACCCTAGGGCCAGATTTATAGAACTAGGCACACCCACATTTTGCTCTTTATACTGCAAACCCAGCCATTTTATAAAGAGTTGAATCTACTGTTTCAGTTCACCTGGTTGTGCCACCGGTGCAAGGTGGTTTAGAGACCAAGCCTCAAGTCTTTTTTTATTTTTAAGCCATTGTAACGAAGTTAGGCCCCACCTACACATGCTCGCTGGAGCACATATTCAGAACTGTTGCTGTGGTTTGTTTGATGCCTAGTTCTGCAGTTGACAAACTAATGGATTTAGCCTCGCTGCCAAGGGAGAGTTTTCTAAAGCTTTAGTGCATCTGCCTAACCCCTCAGATGGTCTTTGCTAGACTGTATCTTGCATTGCAAGCAGGGCACATTATGGCCAATGAAAACATGGCAATTAATTGCACAGAAGCTAACTGGACTGCTTGGTAAGATGCCCGTTATGCATTATTCCATGGACATTCTGAGCAGCATTTCCTCCTCCCTGACTTCCACTGCTCAGCCAGGGAAGAAAGATGATTGATAGCTAATCAAAGGGCCCTATCCAAGGCACACAGGATTCCTGTTGACTCCAATAGATTTGCCTGAATCGGAACTGTTTAATGGGGAAAACAACGGGAAATTGGACAGAAATCAGAAGGCCCCAATTTTCAAACTTGGTTCCTCAAAGTCAGGCACCTAGTGTCTAAGTACAGAGTTAAGTGCCTAACTTTGGACACCAGCAGTAACTGACAATTGATGGAAGGCTAGAAAACTCTGCTCTGTATCTGTGCATATACGTACCTTGGACTGGTAGAAAAGTGAAGGTGAATGAAATTCAAGGCATGCTCAATGATTTTCTGTGCTTCTGGTTTAGGTCAGTCCCAGCTCCCACCCAAGGTGCCGGAGGTGCCACAATTCCTGGGGCAGGAGGGCCTCCTCCCCCACCCAATGTGACCAGTAACAGAAGATTGCAGCAGACACAAGCTCAGGTCGATGAGGTGAGCTGCACACATCCGGGGCACTGCTGAGATTTTATTTTTTAAGATTATTAAATGACTGTTTGCCCAGCTAAAGATCCTGTCACCTTTACTCAACTGAAGTCGGGGGGGAGGGGGGCGGAGGTTGTCTCCTATGGAATGAGATTTACATGAGATAAGGGTTTTAATAGGAAGATTGCAGAAGAGCTCATTCATAATCTTTATACCCCTAACACCTCTGCTCACAAAACAAGTGTGACTTAGATGTTACCTCTGTCATTGTTTGCAACTAGCCAATATAAATATAAACCCTTTCTGGGATTATAAAGGCATAGGCCTTGCCCCTGCAAACTATTCCTTGTGGGAAGGATCCTGTGTCTGAAAGCCTGGGTTAGTTTCCAGGGTCAGGGCTGTAGTTAGCAATAAGGGCTTTATTTAATTTATTTGGTTACTATTAAAAACTAAATTCAGGCAAAGACAAACAGTTGCGCATGTCCACAGAGCAACAGCTCCAAGAAGTCCCCAGCTACTTTTTGAATGATTGTTCAGTATGAGACCTGGTTCCAGCATGGATCCCCTCTTCACTGGGGTGATAATTCCCCTTAACAGTCTTACTCCTTGTTACGGATGCACAGGATCAGTGCTATGACCCCTGCTTTGGAACAGCTTCTGGGAGGACCCCTTCAGTGAGCCAGACCACCTAGGGGTCTCACTCTTCCTTGAGGGTAAGTCGTATGGCTTCACTGCCTCTGTAGCCTTGACTTCTGGGCCTTCAGCAGTCCTGCTTCCCACCATTAACTCCTTTCAGTGAGTCCCACTGAGGTGGACCTCTAAGAAAGATTGGTAAATTTTAGGGAGCAGCACATCTCCGACAGCATCTTCAGTGACCTTTATGCAGTGTTGTCAAAACAGAAAGGTTTATTAGTCAACAGGAACCTAGCGTAGAAAGTCCTTGGTTAGCATAGAGAAAAGAAAGTGGCTCTGGGCTAATCAGAGTGGACCATGCTGTTAAAGTGGTGTGTCCCCAATGGCTCTTGCTCTGAGTGTGTACCTTCTTGTTCAAGTTCCCAGGCCAGTCCTACCTGGCCCCTCCTCAGCCCTTTGTTCTCCAGTTGGTCAAACACAGCAGGCTTCCTACAGGGAAGGGGAGTGAACCATCCATGGTCATTAGTTGCTAGGTAGAAAATATCCCAAGGTTTGGCTTCATGGATTCCAAATTCAGGACACCTAGGCGCCATTGACACCTTTGTCATAGCCTGCCCAAAGAGTAAATAACCTTTTCCCATGATTCATACAAATATTACAGAAAATTCCCACTCAGTCACACTCATCATGCCAGCATTCATTTACTACCATATTCACTGAACTAGTGAAGCTAATCCTGGGTGCAACCCATCCAGCTAATCTTGGGGTTTGATTGCTAATCTTGGGGATTAATCATGGGTGAGCTGCTGACTTGCAGTATGGCCAGTTATGTAGTGCAGATTTTAGATGTGTGTACTAAGTACAGTACACTGAAGACTTCCTAGGCCATGGTCCATTACCTAACTGAACACCACATTGTTAGGAACAACTAGTTGTATAGAACTCTCTCTTGCTCTCTGTGGATCTTTAATGCCAATTCAGATGTACAAACACCAGATAATATCCATTCAACTAGTGTTGGGATTGTCTCCAAATGCACCTAACAAGTATAGGAAAGATGTTTACAGAAATCATCTAACCTGAGCTGCTCATTACACATACAACTCATGTTCTATTTTAGACAGAGCTTGCTGCATTTAGAACCTTCTTCAGCTTATGTCCTGGATGCTCCTCTGCCGATATTTGGGGCAGATCAGAATAGCATCCAGCTACAGAAAAGGCTAGGCCCAATTCTTCTCTCCCATTGGTTTTACAACAATGTGATTGCACTTACCTTACTGGAGTGACTTCTCCTTCTCACTGTGGAAAGTGAGAAGAGAATCAAGTCCACTGTGTCTCAGCCTCTGGTGGGACCCTACCTCTGGTCAGAATCATAAAATAAACTTCTCTACCCAAGTAGACTGCATTATGAGGGTGCTGTGAGCATTTACGTGGCTCAGCATCAAAGCAAATGGCCCTCCTAAAATGTGATTATTTTATTGCTTAAAAGGAGCTACTTCAAACACACTAATGGGGTTCTTCAAGCAGGAGAATGGAAATAGGTCCCAATAATAGACTGGCCAAACCAAAAGCCTAGAACCCTTTGAAATTCTGAAGACCTGGTTCTGAACTTTGTGGCTTGAGACACACTTTAGTTCTGATATGTTTTAACTCAGGCCTACAGGAGTCAGCTTCATAGTGATGAGGAGTTTGAATGGAGAGGCAGAATCAGGCCAATTGTCAGGGAAGTCACTACCTGGTGAGTCTGGTAAGTGGACAGCAGGTGACCATCAATCCCAGGGTGCACTTGAAATGTCCAGGTTCACTTCCATGGTTAGTTCAGACTTGAAGGATAGAAGTTGCTGTAGGTCGGTTGTCCAGAGGAGACATATAAGGGAGCAGGCAGAACTCAGGTTTTATGTGGGGGGGAGGGGAGCTCAGTCAATGGTTAAATCACAGGCTGACTAGAATCAAGGAGGCAAAACTCTATTGGGATTTTCAGGAATAGGATATATGTATCAAGCCAGATCCCTTGAACTTAATGGAACTGTGTTGATTTCCACATCTGAGGATCTGACTCATCATGCTTTACTTTTATCTTGCCCACTTACTGCAGTTTTCAGAGTAGCAGCCGTGTTAGTCTGTATCCGCAAAAAGAAGAACAGGAGTACTTGTGGCACCTTAGAGACTAACAAATTTATTAGAGCATAAGCTTTCGTGGACTACAGCCCACTTCTTCGGATGCATCCGAAGAAGTGAGCTGTAGTCCACGAAAGCTTATGCTCTAATAAATTTGTTAGTCTCTAAGGTGCCACAAGTACTCCTGTTCTTCTACTTACTGCAGTCTTTTCCTAGGAAATGTTTTTGTTTCAGTGTGTCTTGTGGCAAAGCATCCTTTAGGTGGCACCAAACACTTGCACTATGGAAATCCAGCAGAGAAGTTACGGTTTTACTAGCCATTTCATTTCACAAGGACGGGAACAAATCTTCACTTGCGAGTAGATGTGAAATCTCACACTGACTTCAGTGAGGCCAGGATTTCACACTTAGAGCTTAATTCTGCTCCCACTGGAAGATAATGGGATTTTTACTTTTGACTTCAATGGGAGCAGGACTGGACCCACTATCTTTTGTTTTCTCTTGTACATAAATACAAGATGCATTTTATAACTAATCCAGCGTGTAGGGTTTCACTGTGTTCAAAGTGTGTGTTTGACTCTAGTTTTTTACTGCTAATTATTATTCTTCTGAACAGATTGAATTAGATTAAGTACAACTGACATAGTCTGCAGTATTAATAATTTATAAAGAATTGCAAGCCAGTCTCACATTTACTGCTGCCATAAGTGGGCACAACTTTATTGCCTTCAACAGAGGCTGTGCCTATATAAGCCGTTGATGAAGTTGGATCAGGATTTCTGTTTTTAAGCATTAATTGGCTAAAAATGCCCAATCAATGTAAAAATATATTTCAATATGTATAAAATAACTGAATTACTGTGCCTTTCCTGGTACCTTCTGTGTGTCTCTTCCAAGCTATGCTCTTTTGGGCATCAGGCCTGTGCTGGTCTCCATGGTGAAATTAACAAAGACAAGAGTTTTTCTATGCAAAATGTTCTCCCCTCTTCCAATACCAAATAGGATTTCAGACTACAGTTGGAAGATCATCTTGTCTGAGAAGGAGCTCATAGGTTGTGGTAGCTCCTATAAGAAGTTCTTATCAAGCCTAATTTATAGTTATGATAGGGCAACTATATTAAGTCATCAGCAGTGAAAACAATAGTTTTAGGCTTGTGTTCCTAACCAGCACTATGAGCTAGCACATACTGCAAATGTGCTGGTGTCTGCTCCGTGATAGGTACGTCAGCCAGTTTCCTGTAACAATTGCAAAGCAGCTAACTGTGTTAAAGCACCAGTGCATGTTCCTTCACAAAACTTAATGGAAATAATTAGAGTACATTTTAATGTCTTCGTATTTTATAGTCTGTAAGGACACTTGAGCTCAGCATGATTATGTGCACCTTACTGTCTATCTAGGGCTCCCTTGAGTAGCCCCGATATAGAGGAATTGTCTATATAACAGCAAGCCATAATTTTTACTTTGATAGCAAAGGGACCCTTCCCACTTGCCATGATATGTCAGTCCTATGAATACAGCCTTTCCATGTATGGAGTGTGCTAACTGAAGGTTATCTTTTCAGGTGGTGGACATCATGCGAGTGAATGTAGACAAGGTTCTAGAAAGAGACCAAAAGCTTTCAGAGCTTGACAACCGGGCAGATGCATTACAAGCTGGTGCCTCACAGTTTGAAACTAGTGCAGCCAAATTGAAGAGAAAATACTGGTGGAAAAACTGCAAGGTAAAGAGGATAGGTATCTCTTGTTAAATCTGCCACATGTTAATTGTTTACTTTCACTTTGTTTTAATGAGCCCTTGTAACAGTAGGTTGACTTTAAATTACCCTTTTTCTTAATGCTGAAAAGTAAGATATGCTACTCTTTAAACCAATAGGATAGTCTTTGGAAGCTATAGTGACTTTGAATAGAGATAGACTTAACCTACAGTCTGGCTCAGAGAACCACAGATCTTTGTGCTATATGAAATTTGAATCGTAATTATGAGGCTTCAGCCAATTTCTGGAGACAGGAATGAGAGAACATAGGAATTACAATACAGAATCAATCCAGGGATCCATCTAGCCCGGTATCCTGCCTCTGAAACTGTCTAGCACTGGCAGCTTCAGAAAAAGGTACAAGAAACCCTGCAATAGGCAGTTATGGAATAAGCTTTCCCAAGGGGAAGTTTCTTTCTAACTTCCCCCAAATAATTAGAAGTTGGCTTCTATACTGAAGTTTGAGCAGTTATATCCCTTCCAAAGCTCTTGTTAAGTGTCAATAGTTACTATCTTAACTCCAGCCAACTTTTGGATTTCACAAACTCTCTAGAACATTTTCTAAAAGTTGGGGGTTTCATAAGTTTTTAGATTTTTTTTTTTGCAAGAATTTCCCACCCCACCCTCATCTCACATAATTCAAACCCAACTGTTTCTATGGGGAAAATTGTTTAATATAAAAATCTAAGTGTGAGAGCATGTGAAAATTGATACAACATGCAAAAACCTCAGTCCCAACACAATAAAAATACACTTGAAAACATGCACAAAGCCAGTATCTGCATAGCATACATGAGGAGTGGGGTGGAAGAGCCTTTTTCTCCTTGTGGGGATTGATGAACCTCTTTCTCTTTCATGGAGGTAAGCTTCTGGAGGAGGAAGCCACCGGACCCAGGGCCTCCTCAGGCCACCATAGGAAATAAAGGAAGAAGAGAATCTCTTCAGCAGGGCCAGATTAAGGCTAAGCAAAGATTAAATTCAGCAAAATCTTGCTCCTACCCCTCAACAGACTCATCCTCTCCCTTGAACAAGGAAGACCCCTCTTCCTTCCCATCCTGAAACCACCTAGTCCTCCACTCCAGTATCATCCTTTCCAACCCCAACCCCTCAGCCCTCCTTCTCCCTGTACCCATGCCAAACACCCATCTATATGCCTCCCCAGTGCAAGCCCCAACCCAGTTGCCTGGCTTCATTTCTGTCTCCCCTAGAAACCTGTGGTGCTACTGGCAATTCACCTCCTTCCCAAGTAAGACCAGCTGTCTCCAGGGCTGGATCCTGACCCCTACCCTGGCCCCCCAGGTCCTCCCTGCTCCCCCTGAAAAGAAAGTAAAGTGAAGAAAGCTTCCAGACTCAGGAGTCAGAGGAGGAGTAGAGCGGGAGGAGAAGTGGCCAGTACCAATTGTTGGCTCTTTCTTCCTGTCACACATTAGGGCCCATCTTGACTCTCACAAAGTATGTTCTTTTCAATCATGTTGTCTAATCCAGTTATTTTACCATGATTAAAAGTCCTGTTGAGATACTGGTGAATACATCTGAAGCCATATTAACTGGCCACGTTGTAACTTAGGCTACAACACAGCCAGCGAACACAGCTGCAAACGTGTTAGTCTGTATCTTAACAGATGCTCTCTCTCAGATTGTCTCGGTTCTAGGAAATGCTACATTTGGGGCCTATAAAAATTGATTACAGGGTGTCTGTGCAAGGACTAAGAACACTGGGACAGAGTGAACAGCCCACCTAAAGACAAAACCAGGAGCAACCTTTTACAGTGCAAAGACCACATTTTTCTTTCTTTAACTCTCTTTATAGATGATGATCATCCTTGGTGTAGTATGTGCAGTCATTCTTATTGTAATTATAAGTAAGTAATTCATTTTTTATTTACAATCTAAATAGCTCTGTGATTTCCAATGTCCTCATGTCGAAGAAAATAGAACATTTAGGAAGATAGTCTGACTGTGAATATCCCCTTCAAGTGTCCTGCTGTTATAAGGAGATATACTGTAAATTTCACTGAACATTAATTGACTATGGGTTGGAAACATCCGAGTTTTAATGGCACCCACTCTGTTATATTACATAGTTTCTCCCAGTTTAAATGTCACCATTTCAGGATTAGGTAAATTTTTATGCAATCTCAAAGAGCTTCAATCCTACTGTCATTAAAATCCATGACACAAACCCTATCTACATTAGCGGGAGAAGACTCAGTCCTGTAAATTAACTCTCTGTTATAGAATCTGGACAGCAGGCCACATTGTAAGGTACATAGGGGTGCCTAGTGTGATTTTTCAATAGTGCCAGTCAATGGCAGTTAAGCATGTAGGTGCTTTTGAAAATCCCACGAGGTGCCTATCTGCATCTTTAGATATCTAAAACCTGGCCCAAAGCTGCCTTGAATTCTCGGTTACATAGGGAGTGTCTTGTATTCCGCATATCTATATAATATCTGGAAATAGAATATGAACAACGGGTCACAATCGTAAAGGCGGCAAAGCAGAGATCTCATAATAACAGGACTCTGTGTTCAGATTTCATACACAGATAGAGACATTAGTATCACGAAGGATTACAGAAAGGAAGGATTCCTTTTTAATATATAACTTTGTGTTACAACTTCATTCATAACAACTGTTGCTTTCTTTTATGTAACTTTAATATGGCACTACATATTAAAACTGGGGGGTTGTTCAGTCAGACAATATTGCCAGTAATCCAAAAGAGATTTAACAGCAAGTTGTGTTATGGGCATGTACTAATACCTTCTTCTCAGATTACCTACTTTACCTTCAGTCTGTGTATGTTTGCTTCTGTTATACTTACAAATGATCAGTAAACATGAGTTAGGTGCATGATGTAATGTATGAGTTATATAAAAGCTGGCACCAATGTGACCCAGAATGATTTTTGGGTTTCATAATTCTGAAGCTACAAGAATGGAAATGGTAGCACAGGTAGTGGAGGCTTAGCCATGCCAAGTATGTGCCCACTGGTTTCAGTGGGTTTGTACTCGACACCCCTAAGCCATGCCTCTCCTACCGCGACTACATTGCTATTTATACTCATGCTAACTCAGCGAGAGCTAGCATGGGTATGTGTATGCGAGCATGGGAATCACACCCCTAGCTCGTAGTGTAGACATAGGCTATGATTTGAGGTTGTTTATATAATTGTTAGGCCTAGTGCAATACTTGAGAGAATCAATGCTTTAAGGCTCAGGGGCATACATTTTTTCATAAATACTTCTTTGCACTCCAGGTTGTTGTTGTTGTTGTTTCCAGTACCGCTTAGAAGTCTCAACTTACTTTAGGACCCCACTGTGCTAGGCACTGTACATACACATAATGAGAGCCAGTCCAAGCCCCAAAGAAATATCAATCTAAATAGACAAATCAGATATGGGTGGTAGAAAGGAAAATATTATCCCTATTTCACAAATTGAGAACCGAGGGGCAGAGAAATTAGGCTCTGATTCAGAACAGCATCCCTATTCAGGACAGCACTTAGGCATCTACTTAAATCCCATTGAAGTCCATGGGATTTAAGCACTTGCTTAAAGTTAAGTGTGTTCTTAAGTGCTGTCCTGAATAGGGACCTAAGTGACTTCTCTGGTGCCTTAAAGCACAGTGTCTGGTGCAGTCACATCCATTTCACTGGGCTAAATGTTGCTGTGTAGTTAGAGCTTTATCAGGCTATGATTGAAATCGATTGGAGTGGAGCCCTTGATTTTAATGAAGACAGGATCACACCTTCAGTGATTTACCCAGCACATTTATCCTGTAGCTCAGACCACCACCCTTTCCAGAGCTGCCCATTCCCAGACACTGGGGTACCAAATACAAGTTGTTGTTGTAATGACACCATAGTGTGCTCCTTAGGCAGGGCTGTGCTAATGCGCTTGCCTGTTCTCTGACTGCATATGCTCATGTCCGTGGACTGAAGTCCAATATTAACTATATGATAACATTTGTTGTTTTCTTTTTCCTTCTTTCCTTCCTAGTTTATTTCTGCACTTGAAAAAACAACGAGGGGAAGGCTTGGCATGGCTTGGTTCATCTTTTCTGATGTTCTCTTATTGAACTCTGCTTTTTAATTCCTGGTGTCTTGGGGAGTTTTGCCTGTAATAATCCGTAAGCATTCAGTGTAGTGTGTTTGGTATTATGCTGTTTCCACATGAAACTGTACCAGCTAAATACTGCCAAGTAATTCCATGCGTTGTCTTATCATTGAGTCTTAAAATGCATCCGCAATGACCTTCAGAAACTGTAATATATGAAAAGCATCCTAAACTTTTCAGAACAATAAGAGAACAGTTATGGGGAAAGTCCTTACTTTAAAAGGACACTGTCATGTAGTTTAGGCCCCAAATTAAGATTTTTATTAAATAGTAGGACCAAAATCGTCAAACCTGGGGGCCTAAATTACGCTTCAAAATCCATATCTAAACATACAAATAAATGTGGCCTGATTCATCTAGAGCACCTGCTGATTCTGTTTTAGTCAATGGGAGCTGCAGATGTTTAACGAATTTGAATATCAAATTACTTGTATTTAGGTGTCTAAATATGGACTCTGGAGCCTAATTTTAGGCATCCAGGTTTGAAACTATTTGGTCTAGGTTCTGTACAACAATAGGAATGCTTTCATGGATTTAAACTTTCCATTGGGTTGTTTCCTATACAAACACTGTGGCAGCATTGCTAGTGTATGAGAACCGGAAGGAGAACCGATGAGAAGCAAGAATGATACTGACAAGAAAACAAATATCATAAATAACCAAAAAAACCTTAGATCATTAATAAGCCAAGATGGCGGCCCTCAGATTTATGCTTAATTTGATGGCACTTGAACCCCAGTTCTGCAAACACTTATGCCCATGTTTAACTTTAAGCACATGAGAATCTTACTGAAGTCAGGGGGCTCTGCACAGTTGCAGGGATATGCCCATATGCATCAATTTTCAGGATTGGGGGCCTTTTTCCATGGAATCTCAACAAATGAACCATTTGAAAATCAATCAGTGGGAGATTGTTGGTGAGAATTGTGGCGGGGAGGACCCATTAAAGGACGGTTCTTTTATGAAGTGGTCCATGGAATGAAAATGTCACAGAACTGCTGATCTGAGGCATTGTTAGTAGTAACACAAGTAAGCAATCTATATGTGTCTTAAACTGACAGCATCCCCTTTTTAAAGGGGCTCTGTTGAGATATTTTTTATACTTTTTTAAAACTCACTGTTTATATTCTGTTTACAATGGCCCTTGTTGATTATGGAAGTTTGAAACTGAAATAGATTTTCATTTCAAATTTTTTTCCCATTGTCCACACACACACACACACACACACACTGGCCTGTTGTTATAGGGTTGCTCACAAGTGGTGAGCTTCTGGCTTTGCATTAGGATTTTTTAAGCACTGAATAATTTGTTTAGAGGAGGGAGGGAATACTATCCAGAGAGAATGATATTAGTTTTTGTTTTCAAACAAATGTAACAAATACAAATAAAGACGTGTCAAATTTGGGGCCTAATGATCCTGACAGGGTCCATGTAGAGTGATAACTGATAAGTTTTCTGCAGGATTTTGAAAGGGTAATTGTTGGAATAAATACCCGAAGAAGTATTTGTTTTTTTGTTTTTATCTTTGGCTGCCATAGCCAAAATTTGTAAACATATTGATACGCCTGTAAATATTCTCATTGTAAACCACCATTAAATATGGTGTTAGAGAAAACCCAAAACAGATAGTTAAGCCAATCAGTATATATACACTAATGTGACATTGTAATGGATATATATACCAATTGTACTTAAACAGAATTCTGAAGAGAAAATAATGGCTAGTTGAAAGGCTCTAGTTACTTTATTGGTTGCTGTCTATTTATTGCTTTATTTTTACATGTTCCATAAGACATAGAGAAATAGCAGATGCCCACAGCCTTAATGAAATGGAAATGTCATTTTGAAAGCTACTGATGTATTACTGGGCTTAATGATATGTCCTGCTTACTTCAATCTTGTGAGGGAATAAATGCACAAACTCCAAAAGCTCATTGACTAGGGATAGAACGTTTGTTTACTCTAAAGTAATTAAGGACCTGATCTTGTGAGGTGCTGAGTGCCATTCCCATTGACTTGGCAGTCTGCAGGATAGGGGACTTGCAGAAAAAGGCTAAGCAGTCCATCTTGGAAACTTTTTTTTAACCAGAAAAACAATTGTCTGGCTCTTGTAAAAAATAACTGCCACTCTAACATTTAGTAGTACATTACTCCCTATGTAAACTGATTTATTTCCATGAGACTGCTAAAAGCTTGTATAGAAGAGGAAAATTTGCACTAGTGTAATTATGTCTATGTAGCTATACTAGTGAAAACCCTAATGCAGCCAGGGCTAGCTCCAGGCACCAGCTTGTCAAGCAGGTGCTTGGGGCGGCCACTCCGGAGAGGGGCGGCACATCCAGCTATGCGGCGGCAATTTGGCGGACGGTCCCTCACTCCGGCTCGGAGCGAAGGGTCTCCCGCTGAATTGCCACCGCAGATCGCGATCGCGGTCTTTTTTTTTTTTGGCTGCTTGGGGCGGCCAAAACCCTGGAGCCGGCCCTGAATGCAGCCACACTGCCTTGGTACAAAATGTGGCTTGCACTGGTGCAGAACATCTACACTGAGAACAGTTAAATAGGGGAACCCCCCCATCCTGTATACACAGGCCTAAATTACTGCTCATTGTGAGTAAGGATAGCAGAATTAGCCTCTCTAGGTTCTCAACCAGGGGTACACAGAGGTCTTCCCTGGGGTACATCAGTTCATCTAGATATTTGCCTAGTTTTACAACAGGCTACATAAAATGAACTCATGATGTCAGTACAAACTAAAATTTCACATGGACAATGACTTGTTTATACTGCTCTCTATATAAGGCTACGATTTTGGCATGGACAGGATGCAGGCAATAAATAAAATCACAGAAAAGTACACAGGGCTGGCATTTGGGGATAGCAAGCAGGGCAATTGCCCAAGGCCCCATGCCACCGGGGGCCCTGAAAAGCTAAATTATGGGCAACAGGGCTCGGGCTTTGGCTTCACAAGTGAAAAACAGGCTCACGTGTCACTCTGAAATGTAAGTACAATATTTATATTCCAATCAATATACTTTATAATTATATGGTAAAAATGAGAAAGTAACCATTTTTCAGTAATAGTGTGGCTGTGACACTTCTGTATTTTTATGTCTGATTCTGTAAGCAAGCAGTTTTTAAATGAGGTGAAACTTGGGGTACTCAAGACAAATCAGCCTCCTGAAAGGGGTATAGGTCTGGAAAGGTTGAGAACCACTACTCTAGGCAAAGCTATACATCTAAAAGGTAACAAATCCCAACTAGGGACAGAACCAAAGTAGGAGCTTTAGGGGAGGGTGGAAAGAGGGAGTTGGTGTTCCTGAGTAGCTCATGCACATTGTAAATCCCACTAGAAAATCCTGACTGACTTGTATTTCCAGGATTGCAGAATGTGTACTCACTCTCCTTTCGGGCCTTGTATGGAGGTGTCCTGCATCTCTTAAGTAGTGTACTGTAATGTGGATCATTGCTAGACCTCAGAGCTTATCTACAAGGGTAGAAATTAACCAGTTTAGCTATTTTGGAATGACTGCTATAGCTATTCAGGCATAATTTAGCTATTCTGGAATAACAACCCCAGGTGGACCATCTGTTCCAGAAGAAAAGTGATTTATTCCTAAATAATTACTTAGCTTTGAAAGTGGAGTAATTATTCTGGAATAAGTCATTTTTATTTTGGATTAGAGTGACCCCCTGGGCAGATACTCTGGAATAGCTATGCCTATCAGTTTCCCCACATAGAGAAGCAAATAATTCACAGTGAACAGTTTATCCACCAAATGTCACCTCTTGTGTCTTGCAAAATGCCTGCCAACAGATTAAAATACCCTCACCTTTGGTAATTGAATGTATTAAATTAATGTTTTTAACTCTATGGATTCATCCTGAATAAGTCACTTGTGAGTATTTGACCCTTGCTATTTGTGCTGTACTGGCTAGTTGTGGTTGATAAGATAAGTCGCACAGCAATGTTTCTAGTTCATGACTGGATGAGTGAGCAAGCACCTCCTTCCCTGCCCAGCTCATCTTCACAGCTTACAGAGAGGGACTGCTGAATGGCTTCCAAATGGGGGGATGAAGTTGCTCAGTCGGTGGTAACATGGAACTGTGAAATGCTATATTCTTCTGCATTGTGGAACCCTGTAGCTGTAGCATGATGCAGGTTACAATCTATGAAGATATAAAACAAAAAACCCACTGCACCCACCAAACCACAGTTGCACATCTCATTAGTGTTGGAGCCATGATTTTTTTTCTACTCACCGTGTCTTTAAAAAAAAGAAATTTAAATTTAAAATATAAGTCAACCCAGAACTACAGCTGCCTATGTGAACATCCAATAAGTGTTATGTATGAGCAAGGATGAGTTATTACTGGTTAGAGTGTAAAGGGCCCAGTTATGATTGCTCTAGCACATATATGCATGGGTGGGGCTGGTAAAAGGATTCATGGGGCGCTCCTCCCCCATCCACACCCCAGCAATTCCACATAGGAGGCAGCCATTATTTGGCTGTTTGTGAGGGTCACCACCTGAGGGATTGAAGTGGGGAACTTCAGTTCTGAAAGTATGAGTCTGTACAGTTTGAGCTAAAGAGTCAGGCTCTGTAACTGACCATTGTACCGAACTCTCATCTTCTGGGGATCAGGCAGAGGGGGACTTGTAACACATGCTGACCCTGACCATTGGATTACACATGCACAACACTGAAGACCAACTAGCACTGTTAGCAGGGTACACCACACCAGAGGGTGGATGGCTGAGGAGGGGTGTGGCCAGGGACCCTTCCCTTACTACCATGCACCTGTTACAGCAGCTCTGCCCCTATTCCATAGCTGTTTCAGGGGGTGCCATTGAAGCTGTTCCAGTTATTACCCCAGTGGTGGTATCTGCTCCTGTTCTGCACAGACATCATATTTCCAAGGATCCCTGCTTGGGTATTTTACTTTCTCCCCTTCTAACACAACTCTCCTTGCATTACTTTGGCACTAAAATATAATATATGGTATGTAAAATGTGAGTGAGTTAACATTGCTCTGGGAACCCAAACCTTTGCACTTCCTGACTTGTCTGTCTAAATATGTTGCTATAACATAGGTTTCTTCACTTAATAGTATTAGGCAAGGGTACTGTCAACACTTTGTAAGTGGCATAATTAAAAAAATCTTGTAAAGATCCGAACTATAGCCCTGACCCCATAGGACTAAGACCTATTTAAAGACACTGTTTAATCATTTTTAAAGCTGGCATTTTTAATTCCTTGGGATCTTGTATGATGTTAATCCTATAGCAGTTCAAGGCTGATGAGGTCTTTTCTAAGCATGCAGAGCTCTTGGCACTTTTTCTTTTTTTAAACCAAGGTCTGGAATGAGTGATTAAAATACCTGCAATGAGTGAACAACACAGTAATAATTACAGTAGGAAAGAAATATAAAAATTAAAATCCAGTACATGTCTAGCTTGACAGCAAGGGGAATTCCCACAAACCTATTAGCAGTCTAGCCCTGCTCCTGATGTGTGCCATCGTTTGCATGATAGAATTTGTATTAAGCTCAAATTACAATTTCTTTTTTCAGTGCTATCATTTTAGGGCAAGATTGTGGCGTTAAGCCGCTATCCTTATTCGGGTGACAGGTAAGTAGGGGGCTATGAAATGGTGCTCTCTTCCAGAAGTACACCTCTATCCCGATATAATGCGACCCGATATAACAC